GATCTCTAATAAACGGATGTTCTCAAGTGGAATCGATCTAAAAAGCGGACAGAATGTTTGAACCTCCATATTGATAAATATAAACAATTGCACTTACGACCTTAAACATCAACAACATTTAGCAATATGCAATATTATATGATAGACCCACACAAAGTGGAACATCAATTTGACCTGGAGGAAAAGAATCCAAGTCTTAATACATATCAAAATATAAAACAAAAAAAAAGTTTTGCACTTTAGCAGCTTTAGTTTAACTATATAGTGGACATTTTTTGGGGCATTTCTCTTAATGCTTTCATCATGTGACAATTGAAATCTTTGCATATATTTTGCAAAATAGTTCAAGATGGCTGTCGTATTAGACAGAAACTGTCATGATCTTGGCGCTGATGGTTTGGTTTTTTCTTTTGCTTCTTGCTCCCTGCCGCCTCCTCAGGTCTAGGAGGATAGGTAGTGGTCCATAACCCTCCCAGTGGACGGGGAGGGTTATGGACCACTACCTATCCTAGGGACCTAGGGAAAGGTCCTGGATTCCGGCCCGGTTGATCCGGGATCAGGACCCCCACTATGGGGATCATCCTGATCAGCCTGTTGGGGCGTCTGGAATCCGCCCTTGAAGGGGGGGTTCTGTCATGATCTTGGCGCTGATGGTTTGGTTTTTTCCTTTGCTCCTTGCTCCCTGCCTAATTGGTTCTGCGGCTGATTATCGGCGATCATTTCCACCTGGTTCCTCTACTATTTAAGTTGTGTGTTTACCTCCCATCAGCGCCAGGTTATTTGTGTGTTTTTGTGATACGTTCCCTAGCATTCTGTAGTCTGCCTGTTTTCCTGATATTGACCAGTTTTCTGCCTGATGATTTTGAGTTTTGGCCTTGCCCGTTTGCTCTGTTTGTCCTGTCTGATCCTGGATTCTACCGGCTTCTGAACCTGGAACTGTCTTCTGACTTCGGCCTTGGATTTCCCTTCTGGACTCTGCTCGCTCTCTAGGAACTCTGGGGGCGTCTCCCGCCGCAACAGCGGTCAAAGCTCCGCGAACGGACTGAACTTTGAATCAGAGATCCGCCCCGCAGCAGACGAGCAGCCCCGCGCACCTGTTTTGTGTAATAAACGCTTTGAACTTTCCCACTGCCTGTCTCGCCTCGAATTCTGGGTCCAATTTCCTGAGATCATTATAGAAACAGTGTATATGAACACCTGTTTTCTGCTCTGGTCACATTCTCTTATAGATTTGAGAATTGATTCAGACTGTTATTCTAAAATAGTAATGTACCAATATATTAGGGTTGTCTTGTTTGTCATTTTCTGGAAATGGTGTAATCTAAGTGAGATTCAGAGTTTGTATACTCATATATTTCCCATATAGCATATTGTATGAAAGCTTAAAACACTAATAATGATGTCATATGACTCTGAAATCTAGTTTGTGCAAACTGCAATGTGATGAAGGGTGAAAATGTCTAATGTGTATGAGTACTCGTGCAAGGCACTGTAAATGCTTTGCAAAAGTATTTTTTCCAAACAAAACAAACAGAAAAAAGACAAAAACTTAAGCTAAAAAAAAAAAAAAAAAAAAAAAGAAAAAAGCGACAGCCCATCAGCACACCACTTTGTGTGTGAGTGTGTGCTTAGCTGCATACTCCTAATTCCCCTGACGCAAACTGATGATCTAACAACCCACACTGGCCCATAGCCCTGAACTGGCCATGACCCGTAATGTTCCTGTCCTTGCCCCTGAAGCCCTATTGGCTGAACCCTCTCACCTGAAACAGTAAGTATCTGTAGTCTTCATCACCTGCCTAATGACCTACGGCAGCAGAAAATATGCCCTGCAGAGTTGGGTGGCCCTTACCATTTGGTATTTCCCATGGGTGTACAGTAAGTACGTTTCCTGAGAAAGCTATTGATCTTTTAGTCTTGGACTGCTAAATATGGGCTTAATTGGGTAAATATTAGAGCATTGTTTGCAAAACAAATTAGGAATAAGTACTAATTAACCACATTCTTGATTTAGTTTTACTTGCCACGTAATGTCACGATAACTCTCAGCTTCAAAAAATCAAGGAATTACTTAACAGAAACATGTCAAACAACAAAATAAAGTAGGCTAAAAGTTAGAAATGCCCACAATGCAATGTTATTTTTCAGTCTGGAAAGGAGTAGTAAAGCCTTTATTGAGGTTTTGCAAGGGAAGGCAAACCACAGTTACTGTAAGTAAATCAAGAAAACATGGAAAAAAATTTTAAAAGTGGCTGTCCGACCAAAAATGTTCAGAGTTATGTATAAATTGAATTATATCTGGTGAAAAGTTCAAAGTTAAATGTTCAAACCAATGGTCAAATTGAGGCTCTGGTTTCTTCATTATCTCGAAGGAGAAATTCTCCCCTCTTAAATTGTGAGCTTAAAATTGCAATTTTTCTCTTTTTAGGAAGAACTCAAAGCTTTATTATATTTCCCCTCATTTTCTATAACAAACTTCAAAAGAAATTATATCAACAACATTGGCACAGCCTGGCTGACTTCATTCTAAATTCTTGCACAAATTAACTTTGCAAAAGCAACTTTTCCCCAGACATTCAGATTAGTTTGAAAACATTTTCATCTTAATGAATAAATCGTTATTTGGCAACTGCTTTTTTGCATTGCTTTAGATTCTGTCTAATATCAAAAACTAAATTATTAGCAGAAATATTTAACCTGTAGCTTAGATAAAAATGAAATAAATCTTTGAAGGGATACATTTTTTGTGTACTGGCAGTAAAAACCCTGGGAGCCCACCTAACTGAGCTTGTTTGGTTTGGGCAGACATCCACTTGCCTTTATGTGCAATTTTGAGCATAATTTCCTAGATTGTGTTGTTTAAGAAAAAAGATCAGATGGTTTATTATCGGTAAAAACACTTAAGTAAATAAGCTTTATAATTTATATGCAACAGTATAATTATTTTACACATCACTGAGATGTACAGTAAACACACATTGGTTCTGTTGCTTCGCTGCCAGATGGAAAACAAGTCATTGCTGGCAAAATCTGCAACGTCTTCCACTGGCTGTTAGGGGTTGAGCGCAAGATGAAGAACACAGAGATGAGCAAATGAGATATGCAGGAATTAATGAGAAGAAGAGCAGAAGGACTCATCAAGGATCTCTTCAGATTGAGAGAGCACTCATTTGTAGTGGCTCCCCACTGTTATCCCATCTCAGTTGCTCCTCTGGCTCACTCTTTACTGGCAATATTACAAACTACCCCTTCAAATTTCATTCACATCTTTTTATTATTCTCTGTTGCCTTTTTAATTCCAAAATCCATCCATATCCAAGCTATTTATGCAGATCTCTTGGTTCTATGCCAGACTGTGATTGCATATTTTTGAAGGCCTTTAAAACAAAGACGAACCAAAGACAAAATTCTTGTTGTATTCACCAACTTGACTATTCAAACTGACACTGACTCTAAAGGACTGTCTGACATGAAGCCTCTGCTATGAAACTTTTAATACGGCACCATGACATGTAATGTTGACCAGTATTTCTATAGCATTATTTTCCGGTGATCACATGTATGTTTTCAACATGTATTCTTTTCTTGGGAGCTCTGGTTTAAAAAACTGGAGTACTTCATTACAAATTTAGCAGAGTGAATTCCTGAGCTCAAGTCTCTCCCACGCAATTGTTGTCCAGATGCCAGATGAGCACCTTACAATGTTGTGCCAGAACTTGTTCAATAAACAATGTTCAATGAATATGTTCATATTTTTAGTAAACAGTGAACTGAATGGTCCAGTTTTGAAATCATCACCATGAACAAGAGCGATATTCCCTCTGAGAATAATGAGCAACACACACAGCTCAAGTTCGCGTTCAGTTTATGACGACACTTTTCATAGAATAACGTCAGGTTTTACGGCATATATTACAGCAAACAGCATAACAGACCAGCATGTCTGCTGCTAGTACTACTCTGCACAATTCAGACTCATCTACTGGTTTTTCTGATGCCAGTTTTGCATAGACCTTGGCAGAGTTTTATGAACTAACAAAGAAAGACTGACAGAAAAAAACAAAATAATGTATTTGTGCACACTGTGCCCGCCTAGACTGAACAAACAAGTCCGTACATTAGCCACGTCCACTTCAAATTAAAGCGACACATCGTGTTAAAGCATCCAAGATATCTTGGGAAATATCTGCCACTGAATGAGGAATGTAAGAAATCATTTTTGATACAAATCTTTTTAGCAGAACCTGAATGCACCTGAAGTTCAGTGTAATTTGGCTAAATAAAGGCTTCACTGCGCATACAGTATACTATGACTGCATAGACTATTTTCCATTTCTCTATATATATCACGATCATACATTTAAAGGGTGAAATATGATGTTCTATTTTGTAGGATTGTGCCCTAATTTATCAAATGAACTAGAACTATTTCATTTCTAGGTTTGTGAACTAGGTAATTTTTTTGAACATGAACTTGTTAATTTTCATCTGTCTGAACTGAACTTTGAGCTTGTTCATTTTAATTATAAACTGACACAACATTGGCACCTTATACAAAATAGACAGACAATGAGATTTGATTTTCACTGTGAGCATCTATGCAAATAGGGGTATTTTATTCTTGGGGAAGTTCCTGGGATTTTAAGTGTAAAATTGATGGAGTCCTTTACATTCATGGATTTTTCCAACATGTCTATAAACACTAGAAGCCATTTTATCCATAAAGAGAAAAGCAACATAATAAAACTAAAATATAACATGAACCAGGATATATCTGATGAGAAACACATTAGAATTTCCCTGCTTTCTTTCCAAATGCTATTATTCATAGGCTTCAAAGATGCTATAATTGTAACTTTTAAGAACGCTTTATTATCTAATTCAAAGAAATAATAAGGCCAATATCTGTGATTATTCATGTAAATACACTACACTTGATTAAATCTAGACAACATGTATCTACAAGATGAACACCAAAAGAGATCAATAGGAACACTTACTTGTGGAGAGCACTAGGTGGCAGTTTTGTTGTCTTCTCCATCGGGCCATAACAGGATGTCTTGGCTTCAGGAATATCACCGTACTCCACCAACATGGCTGCTGCTGCAGATGTTATGATCCCAAGTCCATCACGAACTCGGGCCTCCAGTGGATAGTCCCAGTCATCATATGACACTGAAATCATCCCTGATGGAAATGTCTCTGGTGTTATTTCGGGGTTCCCAGTGGTAAGTGATGGCACAATCCAGATGTAACCAAATCCAGTCAGGCCCAGAGAGCGTGCCTCCTCCAAAATGTATACTGCTTCATCTTTAGAGCAGTAGAGCAGAACCACTGGAGACTGCACCTTCTTGAGCATGATCTGAGACCGACTGTCTTCCTCCACGGCATCCAAAGTGATGATATTCTGCAGGTCCCATCCCACAAAACTAAAGAAATTGAAAAAAAAAAAAGTAAAATGTTACTATTCATCTAAAAGATTAAGTTTGTTGGAGTGTCGGCTGGGGCAGCAGTAAGTACCCATCATAGATGATATTACTGGTCATTGTGGCATGAATCCTGAGAGGTGCAAGGTGCCTACTGTCAGGGGAAATATATTAAAGCTAAATGGAATGTCAATATTAAAGTCTATCCTGGGAAATGTGTCTGAGCAGATTTTAGTTTACAGACAGAAAGCACCAACTTAACAGATCGGTTAGTGATCGGTACTGATTAAAGTCAAAAAGCGCAAACTGTGTAAGTAAGCTAAAAAAAAAAAAAAAATATGAAAAAGCATTTAAAAACATTGAACCTTTTTTTATGTCGTCATCTTAGGGCTTGATCACATGTATAATTTGAGGACAACAACATCATGGTTACACACACAGACCCCCCCACCCCAATAAAACAAGTTTTAAAGTATTTTACTGAAAAGTTGGAGTAAAATTTTATTCCCATAGCTCCAAAAATATAAGAATGGTAATAACTATGACAGAGTTGTCTATTACTTCAATTTATAGTTACTCAGATTTGAATGGAAAGATGTTAGCATGTCCCAGTTTTCAAGGAGAACTGTTAACCTTTTGAAGCTCTCCTTTTAAAAGTAACACATTTTATGATTTATATACCTTTTAGTAAGGTCAATGCATGACTATTGTGAAGTAATACCAAACACGCTGATTCATACATTTTCCACCCGTTTGCTGTTCTAGCCAGCTGATAGGTAGTGTCCTATATTTCATATGGCATTTCTATGGCATCTCTCTAAAACCAGTGTAAAATACAGGAATGATGCAAAAAACAATTTCAATAGTTTTGAAATGTTAAGTATATCCAGCTAAAGCCTAATCACACATAAACCAGAAATGTCAAAGCTTGAGTTGGGAAGTAGGCACTCACTATATGACTAATTTGACCCCAGCTAGGTCAGTTTAAGGTCTGCTTTAATACCCCAAAAGGGTTTACCAAATCATCTTTGCAAAATAGAGAAAGGTCAGGTAAACTGAAAAAAGAACATCATCCAAAGGATTTTTAAAGTATTGTGACAAATTCTCAATTCCATTTAAGTCTGATCTTTTATTGAGCCATTTAAAAAGTTAGATTTTTAAATCTTAATAGGTTTCATTTTTGGGCTACAAAGCTGTCAAGTTTGTAGCACTGTTGCTTTGCAGCAAGAAGGTTCTGGGTTCGATCTCCGGCCTGGGGTCTTTCTGCATTGATTTTGCATGTGTGGGTTTTCTCAGCGTATTCCGACCAAAAAACATGACTTGTAGGTTCATTTTCATAAATTGTCCTGAGGTGTGTGTGCATGGTTGTATGTTTCGGTGTTGCCCTGTGACAGTCTAGCAGGGTCTTGCCCATAGACTGACAGGTACAGGCCCACCGTGACCCTGATTGAATAAGAGAGAGAAGATGGATGGATGATGGTTTTGATCTTAACCTCAGTCTGACTCAACACTGATTTCATGTCAAATACCGGGGGATACTTAAGCCAAACAGAAAAAGTCAGTCACCAGACAGGAAAGTATTCCAGTAGAATACATAATAAGATCAACCTACAAACTTACACTAATTTTGCCGAGTGCGAAATAAAATCAAAACAGAAACATGTGTATAAGCTGATAGAAAGATAAAAAAGGATAAAATCATATGTATTTTATCATAGATTTTTGCACACCTATAACGAGTTCTGCTCTAGAACTACCAGAAGGGATGTTAACTCATAAACATAAACCTCTTTTCTTGCAGTGCTGTTTCTGCAGAATGTGATCTAGCTGGGCTGTGATGGGCGCTGCTACCAGTCTGAGTGACATTTTGCAGCATGTCTGCACAGCAGCTGCATCATATTCAGTGTTAGATCATATCTGTCTTCTAGGATGGCCTTCATTTTGATTTGAAATTATATCTACAAAGAGACTTCACCTTCCCTTATGTGTTTAATGCCCTGGGGATCATTTCTATACACTCTGATCCTCAGTTACTTACTTAAGTTTTCATTTTGATCTATGAATGCCAGCTTCACTTTTTCCCCCTGAGCTCATTTAAGAGTTTTCCTAGCTGTCTGTGTTTGGGACTTTGCTTTAAGAAGGGCAAACCGTATCCCCACCTGCAAACTTCTCTTTTTAAATGTTGGGAGCTAAATCTGTGATACCTTACCTTGACAATAAAATGGGGCTATGATATTGTAAAACCAAACATTTTAAAATCAAACACTAAGAGTCCATTTAAACCTCAATCTGCCATAGGTGGAGCACGCAAAAAGAATGATATAAAACTTGTTGGCCCTAAGGGAGCTCTCAGTTTAACCCTGCCTCAGCTTTCAGTGACATAATAAAAGGTGGATTAACACTTCAAGATTTAAAAATGTCAGGGGATTTTCAAAACCTAAGAGACCCCAAATATGAGGATAGAAAGTTGGGGACAAAACAGTTTTCATCTTTAAGTGCCCTTTCCAACCACACAACAAGGACAACCCACAGTTTTTACCCAGAAAATTTAGCTGTCAGAGAGAAAATTTGCCAAACCTCTTCAGATCTAGGGCTGGGTATTTTCGCCAAAGTCCTGAATCAAGTCGATTTTGATTCATACAGTTCTAAATCGATTAATTTCGATTCGATCTGTTTTTACAATAATGAAAGTGGTTCAACTGTGTTTCAAAATACTCATGTATTTTATTTTTTCCTGTCATAAACACAAAGTGCAAACTTGTAAATCAAATAGTTGAAACTTGAGATCTGAACAAAACTGTCTCATAAGTGCAGACTTGTTTATGAAAAGTGAAAAAGTAAAGCCTCACTCACTCAGACATGCATGAGCTGCATTATCTTTACTGCACAAACAATATTTGCAGCATTGTCTTTAACAACTGCAGGGTGTTTGCTGGTCAGCCCCAATTTGTTAATGTCTTCAGTCAACCTATTGGCTATATTTGCAGCTGTCTGCCTTGAAGTAATCTTGAGTGCATCTTTCCTGCTCATTTGAATGTGAACGTCATGTACTAATTGATCTCATTTCCTAGACATCGATTTTGCAAAAATGTAAAGTATACGATCAAAAATCGGATAAATCGATATTTTTTACCCAGCCCTATTCAGATCAAACACGAGATTGAAGTAAACAATCATGGGGAACAAATGGCAGACACAATAACTGTATTGTATTGGCTTATTGTATGAAAAAGTAGAAAAAGAAAAGGTGTCGGTCATAACAACGGGCATTTATTTCTTTGCTATCGTTCATTTAAATCATTTTAAATTTTTATTGCTTTAGAAACTAAATATGCTGTTTCCAAATTAAACAGCAAGGCTACTGACTGAGGCTGCTCATAATGAAGAGAGAAGGTAAAGAGAGGATGATTTTTGTGGAATACTGCTTCCTCAGGGACACCACACATGATAGGATATCAGGCCAAGAAAATCTTACATGTTGGATTTTCCCGATTAGCAATCAGATGGGTCTCATTGTTCTTCAAAGGAGACCTGATCACTTTTTACACACTACACATGGCAGGATTATGATAGAATAATCTAGGCCGGTGGCCTCTCTGAAGGAGAATATCAGAACAGAAATTGGCATGAATAGCTTGCTGTGTGAACCACACCCAACTGAAAAACCTCTGTGGTGTCACTGAAAACCTTTCTCATTGGAAAAAAAAAAGCAGATAAAAATTAGAATCATGATAAGGTGATAAATCCCATTGGTCATTTTTATAAATACATTTATTTTCTTTTGAAGTTCTTTTAGGTAAACGACTTTTTGATTTTTCGATGTTTGATTTCACAATAACAAATCTCCTTTTCAGTGTCAGTGTAAACTGTGTCTGACATAGCTCCATAGATTTTTAGGCCAAGTGCAGCCCAACTTTATCTCTAAACACGGTGTGCAAAGTGACATCAAGCAGTTTAGCTTTGGCCTTATTTGAACAGGTTCTATTTTCCAAGTATTTTTCTGGCTTGTTGAAATCTTCTGTACCAAGCTTTCAGCAAACTTCAACCTGGTTTTCTGGAACTAAGCTTGAATATTGATGAGCTAAGCAATACATCTGTAACCCTCTCTAAAGTTAATGTAGTGACTAATGTGTTTTGATGATGATTTGTAATTGTAAAATACTAGGATTTTTTCTGAGGGTTGGTGTGAATTTTAACTCAGCAGAACTTGTAGAAATCTAAATACTGGGAAAGAGTTGCTTATTTTTATTTTGTTAATCAATATTATTGCCATTAGTATCCCAAAGGCCTATTTCAAATGCAATAATTGTTTATAATTAGATCCAAATGCATTGAAGTTCACCAATATAAAATGGCAATATGAAGTGGCAATAACATATTCAGCGTCTCAGATCTAGTTTAATCACAGTGAATGCCACATCTGATGCATATTGCAGTGTCTAGCATACCAGATGACACAGAGACAGATGGAAGAACTGTTAAAAAGAGATATATTTGGTAAAAATTTATGTTTCATTTGACATCAACTTCAGTACTATCAACTTCAGTACTTTTACCAACATTATCCCCTTTGCTTGATTTTCTAATATCTTGTAGCCCTACTAATGACCCAGATGTGAATGAATTAGTTAAAACAACAAAAATATACACACACACATATATATATATATATATATATATATATATATATATATATATATATATATATATATATATATATATATATATATATATATATATATATATATATATATATATATATATATATATATATATATATTAGTGTAGTGTTAGTGTATATATATATATATATATATATACACTAACCGGCCACTTTATTAGGTACCCCATGCTAGTAACGGGTTAGACCCCCTTTTGCCTTCAGAACTGCCTCAATTCTTGGTGGCATAGATTCAACAAGGTGCTGGAAGCATTCCTCAGGGAGTTTGGTCCATATTGACATGATGGCATCACACAGTTGCCGCAGATTTGTCGGCTGCACATCCATGATGCGAATCTCCCGTTCCAACACATCCCAAAGATGCTCTATTGGATTGAGATCTGGTGACTGTGGAGGCCATTTGAGTACAGTGAACTCATTGTCATGTTCAAGAAACCAGTCTGAGATGATTCCAGCTTTATGACATGGCGCATTATCCTGCTGAAAGTAGCCATCAGAAGTTGGGTACATTGTGGTCATAAAGGGATGGACATGGTCAGCAACAATACTCAGGTAGGCTGTGGCGTTGCAACGATGCTCAATTGGTACCAAGGGGCCCAAAGAGTGCCAAGAAAATATTCCCCAAACCATGACACCACCACCACCAGCCTGAACCGTTGATACAAGGCAGGATGGATCCATGCTTTCATGTTGTAGACGCCAAATTCTGACCCTACCATCCGAATGTCGCAGCAGAAATCGAGACTCATCAGACCAGGCAACGTTTTTCCAATCTTCTATTGTCCAATTTCCATGAGCTTGTGCAAATTGTAGCCTCAGTTTCCTGTTCTTAGCTGAAAGGAGTGGCACCCGGTGTGGTCTTCTGCTGCTGTAGCCCATCTGCCTCAAAGTTCGACGTACTGTGCGTTCAGAGATGCTCTTCTGCCCACCTTGGTTGTAACGGGTGGTTATTTGAGTCACTGTTGCCCTTCTATCAGCTCGAACCAGTCTGGCCATTCTCCTCTGACCTCTGGCATCAACAAGGCATTTCCGCCCACAGAACTGCCGTTCACTGGATGTTTTTTCTTTTTCGGACCATTCTCTGTAAACCCTAGAGATGGTTGTGCGTGAAAATCCCAGTAGATCAGCAGTTTCTGAAATACTCAGACCAGCCCTTCTGGCACCAACAATCATGCCACGTTCAAAGTCACTCAAATCACCTTTCTTCCCCATACTGATGCTCGCTTTGAACTGCAGGAGATTGTCTTGACCATGTCTACATGCCTAAATGCACTGAGTTGCTGCCATGTGATTGGCTGCTTAGAAATTAAGTGTAACGAGCAGTTGGACAGGTGTACCTAATAAAGTGGCCGGTGAGTGTATATATATATATATATATATATATATTTTTCTTTTTTTATTTTTATTTTTTTTTTATCTGATTTAATGAAAGATACAAATCTTTAAACAGGACCTTACACGTGAAGTTTCTCTTTAAGCTGAAAAAAGTTGGTGTCATGTGCCCACAATTTCATTTCTTTACTAAATGTTTAAGAATATTGATAATGCTAGCAGTTATCCAAACTTAAAGAAACATATTTCACTAATTTTCAAATGTTCTGAACTAACAAAATAAATGCAAAGTTAATGGGCTTACCTGTTGTCCACTGTAGTCTTTAGGATGTTTATGAACTCCTGGTATCCAGGAAACTTTGACGTGACAATTGAGAACACATGCCAGTCATACTCTTCCATAATGTTCAGCATTAACAGAGCCTCCTGCTGGATGGAAGCCCCAAACTGGAAGAATGTTGACTTCACATCCTGTCAAAATGAGGAATGAAGAGAAAGATGGGGAAAAAGAAAGGTGGATTAGTTTGGGTATTCATTTGTATTTTTGTTCCATTTTCAAAATTAATCCACCAGGTTCAAACTACATCACAGAAACATCCATCAAACACAGGGCATTTAAAAGTTGGCACAAGGTGGGTACACACTCTCCAGCTCCCTCAGCTATAGGCATAAAAACACATGCAGATACTGAAAGTAATACGCTTCCTGTGAAGGAAATATATGGACGAGGGGCTCCGAACAATTCAATTAAGACGAAATTGGATTGGTGCGGTACAGACAGGCTGCAGAACTCTAGGCCTTGTTCTAGGGAATGAGAGTTGTACTCACTAATATCCACTCCATTAAATCTGACAGAGAATCATTTGCCACTTAATTCAGCCAAACCCAGACATGAGCTTGGACAGTGCAGAGAAGCACCATTAGATGTGTAAAATGTGTCCTTTCATTTAAGTTAAAATTGTGCATTTCTTGTATGAACCCAATGAAATACACTCAGGATGATTAAATACTGGTAGAGGAACAGTTTTTGCTAAGTTTTTCGTATATATAATTTGTCTAGGTGGCAACACATTGGTACTGAAAATACAGCCATAGCTGTAACTTTAGTGCATTGCAGAATTGGAAAAAGCTTATGTCTAGCAGTTACTGTGTCAGTTTCACAGTAACTGCTAAATGTTATCGCTCAGACAATCACTAAGTATAAGTTGTTATGAAATGCTTTTATTGTTTCTGTCTCCCATGTATACACCTCCTGTTTAGTTAGTCTTTGCTGGATCCCCTTCATTCTTCAGGTGTCTTCTAGGTTATTTTTGGTCGTTGAGTTTTCTTGTCGATCCATTCTGGACTATGGATTTTTGGTATTTTTATTTCATCATAAAATTTTGCAAGTATCATCTCTGCCTATCCTAATCTGCATTTGGGTCCACTACAACATGCTCTAACCCTGAAAGAAGGATCCGAGAATAAGTAACGGAACAAGGATCCATTTCATGAAGCAAGTTTACAGAAAACTCTAAGTTGTCTAAACCTGAAAACAGGGAGAGTCTGACTTTTCCAATTCAAAAAGAGAGTTTATTAAACCTATGTTTCAGTCATCGTAGTAACATTCTCCCCAGAGCAAACCTGGTCAGCAGCAGGTTTTTTGTTCTTTAAACTTGGTGTGTCCTCTGTCTCCGCTCTCCTAAAAGCAAATTATGTTGTTTTTTATCCTGATTTAGTCAGATTTTTGTTTTAGTTTTGTGCATAAAATATAAATATCATTCAATTGGACTGTTACACACTAAGGTACACAGTAAGCTAAAAAGAAACATTGCATGATGAGGATCTTATTAAAGGATGATTGCCAGTTTTTCATAGAGAATTAAATATTTATAGGGAGAGGATTCTACAACTATTGATATGGCATGAGATTCATTTGTTTTTGGTCTGTTTAATATGAGAGATATGTGGATCATTTCATTTTTATTTAGTTATATTTACAGTGCATGAAGATCTGAAATTATTTTCAGATCACACATATATAGATTCATTAATTCCGCGGGGTGAAAGGAATTACTTTAGGATTAGGATTTACTGGATGATAACAACCTAATGAGCCTACTGGTACAATCTGACAGCATTCTATGGGACTGATAGCCACTATTAACAACCATTTATTGGGATGATAACATCTGAAGCGCAGCTACAAACAGCCACTGATTTACTAAGACTGAATCAACATGAGGGACATATGAAATGATCCACCGGTTCTATATATTAGAACAATGTTGTTTATTCTTCATCGTCACTTTCTGCCAGAAGGTTTCAAAAAATAATCCCGTAATATTTTTCTAGTAACCACTCTATGGCAAGCCATTTTGATGAGTACTACTTTTACTGAATATGTATTCCTGATATCTGAAAAAAACATTTCTTACTTGTCTAAGTGACCACTTCAAGCAAAGTGACATTCTCCACATATAGAATAAACATTCTGGATGTCTATAAATTATTTCAGATTTCCATATTCCTAATATTTTCAGCATCTGTACCATTTTTTTTTCAGTTATCATACATACATTTTCAGTGAAGCTGATAAATGTCAGAACGACCAATTAAAATGTGTAAACATTTGTATATATATAAAACTTAACTCTTACTAGTATAACTGTTTTTTTTTTTTTTTTTTTTTTTTTTTACTTTCTAAAATTCTACAAAAAACATGCCATTTAGCAAATATGCTATTATGTTTAGGTCTGGGAGTGTAGTTTTGATCAGGAAGAATCTTATCAATCTAATCAAATCTGTGTTCCACTGATAATGGCTTTTCATACTATTTGCACACGCAACTCTAAGTGGGCCTCTTTGTTGATTATGAGTTGACCTAGTTAAAATTTATTTAACTAATTAATAGCAGCCATTGTGAAACCCAACACTCAGAGTTCCTGTCTTTTGGCTAGATCAATTTAGAGTTGCAGATTTTAATCTGAATTTGTTAAACCTGCTTCTTGAAACGGACCGCAGGAGGTGTGAGCATGGGAGACAGAAACAATGAGAGGACTAATTAGCTAAAAGGGGGCAGGTGTAAATAGAGTAACTAGCACTAGAGGATGCAATGACGTCACAGGCCAGCGTGCTCTATGTTTACAGAAGTAAACATGGATGGTAGGGCCGGCGCAAATCTAGCAGCATTTTCCGACAATAAAAACTCAATCTTTTCAATATGGTTAAACCAACATACTGCTCTCTGCATCATCATCTGCCAATTTTTGTTGTTTTTCTTGCCGCTTCTGCGTAGCAAGACGCAGAATAGTTACCTTTGTCGGGTATTAATGACGTTCAGGTCGGATGAATCCGACCTGGCTGTTCAGACACAGGTCGCATTTGAAAAGATCAGGTTCATATCGGATTCAGGACCACATAGCCAAGTGGCCTGGGTCAGAATGGAAAAAAAAACGGATCTGTGTTGTTCAGACTGCCATGAAAAGATCAGATCCAGGTCGCATATGGGCAGAAAATCGGATTTGGGTCACTTCAGGCTGCAGAGTGAACGCAGCCAAAAAGTAACTTGAGAAGAACCTAAATAAGGCTAAAGGGGAATAAATATAAAGATTACAAAAAAGGAATGTACAAGGGAAAAACTAAAGGAAAAGTGAAGGGACTGGAGATAACTGAAGCCATGGAAAACCTAACCTAAAGAAAAAGAATAACTATTACTAAAACTAGACAAAGGAATAAACAAAAACACAAATGTTGAAGAAAAGAGATAACAAGGAGGAGCAAAACTAAGAATACAAGAATGATCCAAATCTAGACAACACAGAACAAAACAAAACAAACTTGAGAATTCAAAAAATAAAAACTTACACAAAAGGAAAAGGTCCAACACATAAGATCATAACAGTTAGAGATTATTTAAAAAAAAAAAGATTAAAGAAACTAAACGAATAAATAAATTGACAATATACACATAACCATGTTAAGCTGGTCAGGATGAGCAATCAAGCACCTGTTTAAAGTTTAAAGGATATTTTTTCTGACATTAATCCAAATATGTAGTGTTCAAATGTAGGTGTTTATAAAGCTGTAATTTGATTTTTCAATTTGACTTAAAGATGTGTCAGTTTTAATGGACGTTCAAGAAAGACAACACAGCTTGTATTTCAGATTATATAAGCTTTAAATGGGTCTGACATCACAAGCCTGTCTACTTAAATCATTCTAGAGCCTAAAGAGTTGTCATAAAACTTCATTATGATCCATAAAATTTGACAATAAAGGTGTGCACTGCTCATATTAAAATGTGATGAATGTAAAGCATTTTTTGTTTTTGTAGTTTATGTTTCTTGCAACTGGTTCAATACCTGATTATACATACATATGTGTTATAAGGTTTAATGAAAAATATTGCTTAACTTTTGCAAATATACACGCAGAAAGTAATTAGTTTGCAAAGAAGTTGGTAATATCATAACAAACAGATTGAACAGGACAGAAAAAATGTACATCTCAGCAGGTTCATACAACAGCAGCACTTATATTACTGAATTTCCATTTTCCATTACAGCAAATTCACACATTTCATACATGTGTTTCCACAGGGAGAAATGAAGTAAAAAGTCGCTCCCAGATGGAGTTTTAATAGAGTGTGCAAGTGCAAAATGCTTTTTCCTAATATTTAAAAAAAGAAACAAAGAAACATTGAGAAAATTTACATGTCTATGTTTTTGGTAATGCTCTATTGAGTCATTCTTTCCTTATTTATAACCTAGCTTTTGAAATGGGAATTCATTTTCTGTCACATAGATAAAATAAGCAAACAGATCCCTGTTTCATTCGTTCTTCTGTACATAACAATCCTCAAGTGCTCTTTAATGATATTGCATCTGTAAGTGAGATTTCCTCACTCTCTACTCAGGCTCAAGTTCTCTTTGGAGAATTTGTCACAGTGGAGCTATATGCACTTGGGTGTGTGTGTGGGCTAAGACGTGGTAGAAGCTGATGCAAGCAATGGTTGAGCATTGTGGCACAAGAGGGAGGTCATGGTGTAAGACTTGTCAGTCGCTGTGTTCGTCACATGAAGCAGCAGAAGAAGCACGCACTTAGAGCTGTAATATATAGAGAGCTGTTGAGCCATACATAGAGTATACAGAAGGACTTTTCTATGTTACTATCTATTTAATTAAAAAACGTTTCATTTTTTTGTATTTTCTGTGGGTAACTTTGACACTGAAACCAGCACCAAGCCAATAATTACACACTTTAGGGCATATAGACTATTAATAGTGAGGATGACTTGCTAAGGTTAAAACAGCATCATTATGAAGAAGAAATGCAATGTAAATGCATATGAAGATGATGTGGTTGGCCTAATTTTTTTAGAAACTGCTCAGGGTCTACTGGGATTTTTTTTTTTTGGACAAATATCACTTATGTTTAGAAGAAAGTGTTGTGCTAAAAGAGAAAATATCCAGGCACATGCAGTTGTGTGC